AGAGCAGGAAAGGTCGTAGGTTCGATTCCCATCGCAGGGTGCCAGGGACCAAGTGGATTTTTTAAGCATTTTGTATTAAGAAATATTTTGTTGCTAATTTTTTTTTAAGTTAAACAACTTTCGCAATGACCGGTCACGGGATGGGTGACCAAAAATTACTGTCTCGAGCTACTCCAGACTTCATTTTTAGTTCATGGTTGGGCAATACCGTCCAATTGTTATTAGACCAGCGTAGAGGGTCATGTCCCATCTTCCATAAGGAATGCCTAACTGAGCCCCTGCATTTGGGACGTAAAAGTTAGCCCGATAAAAAAAACTCCAATCAATAGTAAAAAATTAAAAAAATTAACGTGAAATTACTTATAGACAACCAAATACTATCTGTTTAGTTAAGATTAAGTAAGCTATTGCCCTTTGTTGTAGTAAATATACAACTCTACTGAGAAATTATTTTGAAAATAAAGTGACATTCAAAAGACTATAAACAAACTTGTCTGATAAAAAATAGTTTGTGAAAAAGCTTAAATGTTTTGCGAAATCTTCAAACCAAATGTTTTGTTTATTCTACTAACTTTTGTAGTAAAAATACAAAATATTATTTTTTTAAAGTGTAATTGGTAAATTATTTTGTCATAATTTCTCATTTTTGGACTCGACGCCTAATTATTCTAAACTACTATCGCTAGTTTAAAGCGGATATAGGTACGCTCTGCTTCTTAAGTAGGCTACTGCTGCGAACACTTCTAGAATACTAATGTAGAAGGCTTTTTAATGTGTAACAACACCGCGACGACTACGCATAGTCTTTTGTGAAATTAGTAAAAGTGAATTGACTTATTTTACTGGCCATTGAATATGTATAACCCATCTTGATACCGACTGAATGAATCAACGAATACAACACAAACAAACTGAAAATAGTTTTTATTTTGCAGCATTTTTATTAAGAAATTTAGCTTTTGTTGTTTTTAATTTAAGGCAAAATAATCTAGCTCGTGTCCAGTCGAGTCTTGAGGATATTTGAAGTTTCAGGCGCAGTTCAGGCTGTTCGCTTGTGTAATGCATTGCCGGAAGAAATAATTAAACATATTTTAAAAGAATATTATTTATCAATTTAAGGAATTAAGGATATGCTATCGTTTTCATTCTACTTCTATCCTATGCGTATACTTTGTTTAGGTACTGTTATATTTATTATTGTATTTTTTATGTATATATGCATTTATGTGGGTATATTTATGTGTGAGTTTGTGTGTATGTATGTATGTTTATATATGAAGTCATGTTTTTCTCGCCATGTAAGACACCATCTACTGCCCGTCTACTTAAGTAATAATCCAAGCGGTTGCCTGGAAGAAATTGCTTTTTAGCGATGAGGCCGCCGATTGTACCCCTAAATTGTATCGATTATCCTCTTATTTAATTATGGTGTACAATACAAGTAGTCATTCATTCATTTGAATGAAAAAATATATACTTGATTGCACACAATAAAACGTAGAAACACAAATAGAAACAGAGACGCAAAAGGCAGCTTTATTACTAAGGCAGCAAGCTGTAGGTTACCCTTAGAAATATGAACATTTAAGAAAGTATATACATATATGTATTCTAGTACGAATTAACATGACAACTGAGAGCCTGTTCTAATTGTACTAAACGAGAAAAGTGATGACGACTTTTTACTTCAATTTAACAAGAAATAGTTTAGTCAACAGTCATTAAAGTTGAGGAGTGGGGCTTGCTACGTCATAGTTTAACAAACAAAAGCGCTGACCACTGTGTCATCGAGTTCCTACATGTATGATAACAATTAATTATTAAACTTACATGACGCGAAAAGCAAAAAGCGTAAATAAGTTTATAATATCTTTGTTTCCTTAAGCATTTCTTGCCAACACACTTATTCTTGGAAATGTCCGATGCTGACGTTGCAACTTTTGCGTGAGCGTGTCCGTCTTAATAAGGCGACATGACGCTCGTAAATAGCAGTTCTAACGTTTTGTCTCGAGTTGTAACATTTTGTCGCACACCTATGTTGTATAAGAAAATCATTCGTCATTATCGGTGTAAGTATCGGTTTATGGTCCTTGTTTTATATTAATGTTCATAGTTAGAAAAACATGGATAAGACTTCGTATTAAAATCTATTTAAATTTATTTTTTCTACTACTATTTAATGTGACACTATCAAATATTTTCATTCTTTGAAATTGTTGAAGTTTGCTTATAAATCTTCTGTACTTATCAATTTTTTTTTCCAACCTAGTGTACAATGAAGCACTTAAGACTGTGCAAAGGGCTCGAGTGTGCTCAGCCCTGAGTCTAGATCGATGTAGCTAGATACCGACGCGACTAATCGTTTAATCTGGTCTATTATAGGAGCTTCCACTGTGACGTAACAAGTGCATAGTTACATTTCAGTTTACTATGAACGTACTTATTGGATTGTAACTCTCCACTTATTTTTCAATATACCCTAATTTAGATAAAAAAAAAAGATTAATAAGAAGAGGATTATTTATTATTAAAATTTTGATATTTCAATCGTTGAGTAAAATATTTCTTGGACGAAGGAAATTATATATACTGTATACCTAAAACTTGTGCGGCCGATATGCTTACGGGGACATACCCTGAAGAATAAGTAAAAATATCAGAAGCCTACTAACTAAAACTCTCTGATGTACAAAACTGTGAGTCGGTGCACGAGATTAATCCAAAGGATCAAATTATACTTATCTATACACAGAAGTATTCCTATGCATTCATCTAGAGTGTTTGACAGGGCCTTTACTGTACACGCCGCTCATCTGTGGAACGAGCTGCCGGATGCTGCGAGGCGTGCTCAGTCTTTAAATATTTTTAAAAATTTAGTTACAGAATACTATCTCTCACGTGCTGTACATCCAAATAATATTTATTGTAGATAATAATATTAACTTTCTGTAAGTTAAATTTTTGTGTTTGTGTGTGTGTGTGCGTGTGCGCGCGCGTTTGTGTGTGTGTAAATGTGTGAATTAATTGCATTATATATTCATATATAAAGTGTACTTAAAGAGATCGCTTTTTAGCGATAAGGCCGCCATTTGCTTCGCTATCTTTGTGTATCTTGTATGTTCTCCTTTGTTGTGCAATAAAGTGTATGATTAATATAATAAGTGTCTTTAGCTTTATTTAAGAAATAATATTGTGTACCTTAATTAATGATAGAATCGCTAATCGATCATTATGACTGTCACAATTATCAATGACAGCTGTTAGGATAGTGAAAATAATTGATATCGTAATTACTTATATACTTATGAACCTTTTCATTAACATTGCGCTGAACGGAAAAATATAAAATTCGGTATAGTTAAACGTACATATATAAGGAGACTAGCTGTTTTCCCGCAGCTTCGCCCGTGTATATTACAGCCTATATTACCCGCGTATGTTGCTTCTCGGTGGGTAAAATAATTTTAAAACGGCTTTTTTTAAGTGGCAATGTCGCGGAAAAGCATCTATAGTTAATATATATTTGATAACGCAATATCTTGTTTATTCTGTGATAAGTATTTACAATACGAATATTATCAGCTCTAATCTATTACTAGTTGTTGCAATAATATTGTAAAAGATTATCTTATCCTCAACTTAACAAAAATAGAATAAAGTTTCCAGTTCGATATCATTTACCTCACGTCATTGACTTGACTTCAATTATTCCACAAAACTAGTATTATAATATCATTCAGTTGTGTGTAAACAGAATCTAAACCATTTATGTGAGCGTAACAATCGTTAAATATAAATAAATTTGATATTTAATATTTGCATTAATTCCATATTTGTAACAATAGGCGCACGTAATCTGATTATAGGCTATTAATTAATTACGAAAGATTTTTCAAACACCTTTTTCCTATTCTTACAAAAGATTCCATTCCATTGGTTTTTCTTTAAACATATTAATATATTTTATGTAAGAAAAGCATCAATTATACACCACTAAAATTTCCATTTTAAATTATTTAATGATACGTTTTTATTTCTGTAAGTAACTAAGATAACAGAAGAAAATTCATAAATTTTTATTTCAACTGTGTAGGACACCATTTACTACCCATCTTTTTTATGTAACTGTCCAGTCTAACTTTTGGTTGCCTGGAAGATATTGCTTTTTAGCTATAAGGCCGCCAATTGTACTGTTAATTGTTATGTTGATTTTATTTTCAAGTACAATAAAGTGTTCATTCATTCATTCAATATTATTAATGTCTTTGATATTATTTGATTTAGAGACTAACACAAAGAATTGCCACTAATATAATGCCAAATATAAATTATAGTTTCCAGAAGTACTCGTAAAAAAACTTCTGTAGAATTCGTCACGAGCAGTCCCAGGCCGTCTAACTAAGTGGTTCTCAAAAATGGCGTTTCACCCATCCGCATCTATCTGCACACCATTCTGCAATTTCGCTAGTTGGCCTCTTGGTCGAATTCGAGTGCACTCTTGGAATTATTGAGGTGTACTTACTTGCCTCGGAACGTAATTGAAAACGGGCAAAAGTTCTGCTTAAATGTACAATTTTTTTAGCTTTACTATTGGTTCTACTCTATTTCACAAATATGACTCCAAAGAAACACTACCTCTGATGCACTGATGAATATTATCCGTGACTATTCACGGATGTGATTTTAACATAATAAAAATACTATTCGAATCAATCAATCAATCTTTTATTGTTTATATCTATTATTATAAAAAGTTTAAGTTCAAACCAATACGATCATGTAATTACTAGTTAAGAATAACAACACATTCTTACAAACATTTCAGTGGTAAGACTTAATGTGAATTATGGTTATTGATATTTATTGATTTGTAACCAACACTTAAACCACCTATAGAATAGAATAGAATAGAAGGGAATAGAATAGAATAGAAGGGAATAGAATAGAATAGAATGTTTTTAAATAGGGTAAAAGTAAAAGAAGAAGGTGCAATAACTTACTATTTCAACATCCTCATAAAGTCAGCAGAAGGGAACATCTTTATCTGGAACAAAAAAAAACATCGCATTGAAACCTAATTAATAATTTTTAATACAGCAAGTATATCGGTGGCGTAGAGGATAAGCGCCGCGGCCCGCGATCGTTGTCGTGAAGCAACTTTCGCAACGGTCGATCACGGGATGGGTGACCAAAAAATTATTATCTCGAGGTACTTCATGCTTCGGAAGGCACGTTAAGCCGTTGGTCCCGGCTGCATTTGCAGTCGTTAATACCCTCTAATCCGCATTGGGCCAGCGTGGAGGGTCATGGCCCATCCTCCTTAGCTATCCATAAGGAAGGCCTGAGCCTCTGCACTGGGGACGTAAAAGGGCTGATGATTAATACTGCAAGAAAGAGAATCTATAATGTAATTTTAAACCTATCTATATATACATCAATGATTAAAGATTTCGCAAGAAGGATCACATTTTGGACATTTCTGACTAATATATTCTTAAAAGCATTTGTTAGGATTAAAAAAAGAATAACATTTGAATTGTGACCTTAATACTGTTACATGAAAAGTATAGACTACCATTAAAAATCTATTATCGATTGCATTACGGGCATCACTATCTGTCAGTGTGCTGTCACTGTAACTTTGACATTAACGTTGATGAGATTTGCGCATACTGATTTACTTGTATACTGGTACTCTTAAGATGACCTGGGATTGGCGGATTTTTTAATTATTTTTCATTAAAATATTTTCTAGTATACTATTGTGAAAGCAAAATAGATCAAATACAATAATTAGATTAATAGGTTTAAGAGTTATGAATACGATGCTCCAGATAGAAAACCATATCCATAGACATATACACTCTTCGTAAGAACATAATGTGCTTTAATTTTTGAAGATCATCTCCAATAAAACAAATACAGAACAGAAATTCACACTTGGATGACTATCCGCTACGGTGTTCATTAACCGAAATTACGTAATCAAGCTTGATAAATTACAATATTATTCTTTCATTAGAATTTATGGATGAAGAAAAGAATATTCATTGTTGGCAAAAACTGCGATTTTAAGAATTCGAATTAACATTTTTATTAGTATACATTTTTACATTGCTTTTACGAGTGCAACTCAGAACAAAAGGTATTTCTTCCTAGGTGAAATCAGTTTTTTTATATATAATTTCAATTGAATCAAAAATTGTGTTAATATGAATATTTTAATTGAAAATAAGGATGACCCCTTATTTAAATAATTTATTAATTAGGGGCCGTCCATAAATCACATTTCAGGGGGGGGAGGGTCGAGGAATTGTGACATTATAACAATATTTAGTAGAATTTGTATAGATAAATAGGTGACGGGGGGGGGGGGGGGGGGGAGGTTAAAATCCTGGATTTAGTGTGACGTAATTTATGGGCGGCCCCCTATTAATAAATTATTTATATATAATTAATATTCATATTTGATTTAACTTGACTACATTGAGTTACAGATTTGTTTGTTTTTTAAGAGCAAATTGAGTTTATTTCCTACAAACATACCTACTGAAAAACTGAAGAAAACCATGCTGAACAAATATATGATATCAAAATGAGCAGCCAAAGTATTTATGGAACAAAGAAGTTACCACAACACCCAGATCCGAGAAAAAATAGAAAAGATAATTTGCTACGGTGACTCAACCATTAATATAATAAACCTTGAAACTGACATGCGAGTCACTCGGTCTCGTCGGTCGTCTAAACAAATAACTATTAGACAACATCACATAAATCGCTCAGGCCTCAAATTAAATATCTAAACCATTTGTATTATAATAATCTGACACAGGAAAATTAAGTACCACAACACCCAGCTTCGAAACAATATGCTTAGAAAAGTCCACTATCTACGGTGACCCAAGCCAGAAATCGACTTTAAACCGGCGTGAGAGCCACCCATGGACGCCGCCAAAAAGTTATAACCTAGATTAGATTAATTATTTATTCAGAGACAAAAGCCGCATATGAGAATGTTCTTGTTAAGTTTGGGACGTGCCTTCAGAGGTTAAAGTTATAAATCAGGTGCATACTTGTATTCTAGAGCACCGTTGCATACACGCTGAAGTGATTCCACGAGCATTCCTGAGCCGTAGTGTAACCGAACCGACTAAATACCAGTATTTTGGTATTATCCAGGTATATACAATTTATTTAGATAGGTGACAGGAACTCTTAAATCTTTTAATGATAATTAAAAATAGAGGCACATCCTCATGAAATGATTTTACTCGAACTCTGATAATGAATTTTACTTGATATTTTAATGTAATCTTAATCAGTTTTAATAAATTATTGAACAGTGTAACGGTGCACCATACCACACCGTTTATTTTCTCCTAGGTTTTATATTTTTGGAATTTATTATTATATTTGGATGTAAGAATTATTATTTGAATATAATATTAATTAATAAATAACATCGAATTCCGCAATAAATTAACGTTTTATTTACAAACATTACTTTTCACCAACACTCACGAGCCGCACCGAAGCAAATGATAAAACTTCTTAAAAAAAACCTATTCAGCGATGGTAACCGTATCGACTAATATTGCGTTGCATTCGAAAACTTTATGATATTGTCTTATATATTTTATTTACGCATTTGTTTCCACGTTAATATAAGTTTTCTGCATTAACAAAATATATTACCCACTTATTCGTAGTATCATGCAGCTGTAAATGTTCAGTAAATTAATTTATAGCGCAGTTAATTATCAATTTCTTAGCTGGGAAGTAATCAAAGTGACGGAAACTTCGCGGCGGAAATTAACAAATTCCGATTCGCTCCAGTCGGCGTCGTCGTGGGCGCCATGGTGGATTTCGGTGTTTGCTCAGTACTATATATACATATTACATTTAACATGGAGGTATTCCAAATATTTTTTTTGTAAAAAAGAGGGATGTGGCGGCATTCATATTGATCATATCAGAATCATTGTTTGATGTAATGAAATCAATAAAATTAATGGCCGTAAAACATCAATTCTTTGACATATGGTCTTTGGGGTAATCACGAATGCGGGAAAATTCTGAAAATGACATTAAAAAGCAACATGTTCGTTCTATCTAATTTAAAGTATTTTCATCTAATAAGTTTTTTATTTGTCAACTTTATCAACAGTTCATTAAAAAATAATACCTGATTTAGAAGTAATTCGCTATTTCTACTGTTTTCGGAATTACCCCAAAGCACTATTTAAAAAAAACCCTCAATAAATGAAAGAATCAAGAGCCACAAACTTTAATAGATTTTTTTTATATATCGGCACGAGACATTGTCGCTTAGAATTCTCACTGTTATTTAAAGCCTGTGTTAAACACACATTTAACTTTTAACAATCTCTACGAGATAAAATATCAACGCGAATATAAAAATTTAATATCATCAGGAGTATTTATTCCAATATCTGTAGGTAATATTAGAAGACCTCATATATCTTGTTATCAAAAATTCGTTCGTTTCATCTCTTTGGGATTTTACCAAAAGTTGATAAAATACAGATAGAATTCATACAGTTGTCTGATGATGTAATTTGGATTCTTATTCAGCTGCACCACATGAAGCCCAGGATCTGTCGTTAGAACTGATTGCCCAGATGATTACACTGTGACGCGGCAATAGATTCTCGCATCAATTGGTAATGAGGGTTGGCATAGGCAATCTATCTGGCTCATGCGCTTCGGTATATAACATAATATTTAAATAATTATATTGTTATAATAAATTCAATAATGTTTCCAATTAATAAAATTTGTTTATTAATGAAGAAGTATTTAAAAAAATAAAATTAGTTCTTGAAATCATACTAGATGTCACTCGCGATGTTTGGATATTGTCTATGATATTCATTCAAATTTTGTTTCTGCCATAATAAAAGAAAATTGAGAATCGAAAATCAATAAACATTACATCATTCTGTGTTTCTTATAATATCTAACTTTCAAATTAATTTAAATATTTTTGTATTTATTTTTTGTTTTTATATTACGTGTATGTAATGTTAATGTATAAATGATGTTTCGTTTATACATCAACATTAGTGATGAGCCAAGTTATTGGTTACTCGTAACTTTCATCCTAATTCATTTTTGGAATGAAGAACAAAAAGAATTTTATCAAAATCAATTTAGTCTAGGCTGTTACATAGTACTGGTGAAAGTCGAAAACTATGCCAAAGTTTTGCAAAACTACAGGGTTTGGGAAGAACCAGCAAGAAAATCAGCAAGGGCTGCATTTTCTCTCTGTTTTATTTCACACAAAGAAGTCTTATTGGAATGTGAATTAATTAGATTATGAAGTTTATTTCCATTACAATATCAGTAATAACAGGACATATATTTTTCGATTACTGATTAATATGCCGGTTGCCAAGTCATACATACTCATTGAAAAATCAAATACAATATTCATAATACAAGAAAATGGACGAAATAAGTAGTCCAGTGCAGACTCACCCCTTCTGCCAGCACCCGTTGACAAGCTGGACGCATGAGCCAGCAATCACTTCGCTTAATTAAATTTTAGGGACGTAAAGACCCTACGCACACGACACCATCGCAGAGACTTTTAAGATAGCGTGACTACTCTAGGTAGTTAAGAAAGAATATATTTCAATAAAAATGATTTCTAGAGTAGGCTGAGAAGGAAGTCAATATTTTATTTACAATATTATTGTAAGAACCAAAAAAGCACATACCCATCGTACGAATTAACATAACATCTGGCTCGACGTTCGCCGTCGACATGCAAGTTCAGTAGCGATAGTATAATAACTGTATATATCTTGTGAATTTGAAATTTAAAGTTATAATCTTTTAAAGCAATACGTTTCGAACGGACGTTTCTTGTTGATTGCTGAATTTTTATTCAACAATCAACAAGAAACGAAGAGGAAGATAACATAACAATCTTAGTTTAAAAAAAAAATCTTAATTTCGAAATTACAAATTATTTGCACCTTGTACTTTGTACAAACGTCATTCTAACCAGAAGTCATGTTATTTTGTACGAGTACCTAGTATGTTTGATACATATCGGGTAAGTATATAAATAA